AGATAGGTAGGTAACTATGTTCATCTTGATGAAGAAAATGATTATATTACAACTTTCCATTCTGGCTTCAGTCGTCTAATGACATGTAGCGCGAGGGTGGAAATGCTCGTTTAACAGAGGTCGGACCACCATTTCCATAGTAACGATATTACAAAACCACTGTGAGCAAAATATAGAAAAACATCAGCTGTCGATCTGATAGGCCAGCATTGATTTACAACCAGGTTACAAGAAAAACCTTGCCTTTTTACGACTAAGCTGAGATATTGAGGCGATCGGAATACTTCTATCGATGTGTGCGATTGATAAGTAACATGTTATAGACAGGTTTATTTTGCGGCACAGAGAGCCTTAACAATGTCGATGCGATCAATAATAGAGAGTGGTCAACTAGTAAAGCTAGGCTAGCGAATTGCATCGCTCCATGTTGTTTTTCGCTTTGTGTATAAAATTAAGCTGGAATCAATAAATTTACAATAAGGGGATTAAATTACCAATATCCCACACACACTCAGTCATAGGAACAAACCAGTAAGTCCCAGCTAACAAGGCGCCTCCACCACAACCATCCCGCATCACGATCGGTAGAGTTAGGTCTACTCTATCACCGAACTGCTAACTGATGCGACCGGTCATAACATACGATCAAAGTTAAGATGTTATCTTCAGCGGGGTTAATATCAAATGTATGGAGCCATCTGGATGATGTGTGAAAATTAATAGCATTGGCTACAAGGAACCTTAACCGGGAAAGTCGCATCCATCTTGCTGATGGGCATTTCCTATATCGATAGTTGCGTTTAGCGTGCGTGATGCTTCCGGCGTCGTGAATCCGTGGCAGTATTATACTGCCTCCGCTAAGTATTGTACGATGATGTAAGAGAGGATTACGTGCGTCAATCGATTGGTGTCCCGGATTAATAACCGGGAGAGCTGCCGACACGCACCAAACACGAAGAGTTTGGGGGGCTGGTGCAGCTCTCAGCTCACGGGGCGGGGTGGGGTGCGTTGGGTGCGGGCTCGGGTGGTGGTCATGGAAGGCGTGTGCGCTAATCTTCGTGCTCGCAATACATTTGCTATGTCCGGCAAGAGATGTATTCCACAGTTATGACAAGTGCTTTATCTGACTAGAAAGTCTGCTCTGTGTAAGTCATCAACTCCCCAGTTTTCCATCGCCGTCGAATCCAAGAGTCTGGTCCATACGCATGTGATCTTGAACAGAAATGAGTGAATGACTTATTTTACTGTGGGTACGTACCGTGGTGCGCTAGTCTCGTAGTAGCATCACCTGTGCCACCGTAAAAACCAGCATCTTGTTCAGGATGACGTCGAGGTCGACGAGAAGGGCACTTTCGCTCGTAGCGTTACCTATTCCCGTAGCAGTTTTCCATATGCCTTCTGCGCGCCATTATCGGGCACACTCATGCGTGATCATGCAGAATCGAACCACGTTAGTAATTATGGCATAGCGCCAGTATCAATGAAGCAGAACATGACGATATAAGATAGAGATATATATACAGATTTATGTTATGAGTATATATATGTGTTGTGTGTGTGTATGTGTGCTGTGTGCTGTGTGTGTGGCTGTGGTCGATGTTGTGTGCCGTGGGGCGTCGTGGTGGCGTGTGTGTGTGTGTGTGTGGTGTGTGTGTTGGTGTGTGCCGTCGTGCGTGGCGTGGCGTGCGTGGCGTGAGTCCGTGCGTGCGTGTGTGCGGGCGTGGCTGGGGTGGCGGTGGCGTGTGGCGTGGCTGGTGTTGTAGCAGCAGTGCTTGGCACTTCCTCTCGGCTTTTATGCTTATGTTGGCCGTTACGCTACTCCATCTATTTATTACGATTCTTTCCCTGTCACTGTATGTAGAAATCGAGTCCAAATTCTCACGTGTTAATTAGGGGATCGACTTCTATAAACCGTGCTAAAAACTTGTTTCATATTCAAAGAGAAATTTTGTTCTACACAAAGTAGAACCTCACGAATGTTATAAAATGGCAAAACATGAGCTAAAAATTGAAGGCGCGTGTCAGAACATATTATTATTCTCTGAACGTTATTTGTACTCTGACTCACTTGTCGGTCCTGTGAAATCAATCGATGTGGAAAAATAATACGTATACTGTATATTATGGCGCGTGTAATAGATCTGTGCCGTCACTGTATACGAAGCATGTTTTTGCTGCACCTTACAATGCACCACACCATGTAGATCCAACCATCTCATTGATTGGTGCAACTGAGCTAAATAAGGTTAACTATGCAATTTATATCGATGAACTATACATATTAAATCGATTATACAATCGATGAACTATGCATATATCCGACGGCGCTTACCTGCTTCTGGTACTTTGTCCGGCATATCGAAGTAATTTTCATAGTAGGTGTAGATTTGCGGGGCGAGTTTGAGTGCGTACTCCGTCTGGTTCATCCAGTCAGCGGGCGCCCACACGCGAATCTTCATCCCACGAAAACGTCAAAAAAACTCGTATTTACAGCTGCAGAACCGTAGGCCTACAGCAACGATTTTGCTATATTACACATAATTTATTATATATATATTCATATTTATTTCGATACCTATAATATTATTATATTATACATGCCAGGATTTACAGTTTGGTGGTCACTTCATCTTGTCATAGTGAAACTGCTATATCGCTGTTCTAATGCTTTTGCAACGTTTTGGCAGGTACCCGAAATATAATATAGCAATCTATATTGGGTTCGACTACATTTTACCAAACGGGAAACAACAGAAGGTATGAAATCACGTTTCATGCATGTCCGCCATGATCAAATAGCGATTAACTATATATGCGGGTAGGCTTCACAAACCCTAAGCGCTGCACATCCCTAATAAATTCTAACCCTAACCCTAACCCTAACCCTAATTAACCCTAACCCTAACCCTAACCCTAACCCTAACCCTAACCCTAATCCTAACCCTAACCCTAATTCTAATCATCGCTAATTCACTATTACGCTCAGGACTGCTTCGATGACACTTCTACTCGTCACGTATATAATTATAGTGTGACTACTGCCGCCGAGTTACAGCTTAATTGCCAGTATTGCAGTCTACGTATAATTGAGATGCTTGGTGATAAATTATTGTGCTACTAGACAATACTGGCCTGTCAGGCCGGATGCTGATGGCGGCTATCATGTTATCAGGTTATCAGAGTTAGTAAAAAGGTATAGTAGTGGTAATCATGTTCCCAGATTCATATGAACGTAGTTGTGCTCTATACATTTTCCGCTTGCCAAACTACATCACTCACCGAAAATGTCAATAGATATACTGTGCGTACGCCCTATACAATAAATTTGCCCTGATAGTGCGTATTTTAAGCGTGACCCAACTAGAGTGCGTTAATTGTCTTACTTGTGTTACTTAAATGTTACACGTCTTTCACTAAACCTGTAAAAAATATGCGTCTGAATACATCAACGTCGGTACACTAATATATATATATAAATAAATATAATATAAGAGAGAGAGAGAGAGAGAGAAAGAAAGCGTGTGTGTGTGAGAGAGAGAGAAAGAGACGAAGAGAAAGAGAGCTAGTATTGATTCTTATTATAGATAGGTACTAACTATTTCATCTTGATGAAAAAATGATTTACTTACAACTTTCCATTCTGGCTTCAGGTCGTCTAAGCACATGTAGCTGCCGAGGGTGGCAAATGCCTCGTTTAACCAGAGGTCGGACCACCATTCCATAGTAACGATATTACCAAACCACTGTGAGAAAATACGAAAAACATAGCTGTCGATCTGATAGCCACCATTGATTTACACCATTACAAGGAAAAACCTTGCTTTTTACGACTAAAGCTGAGATATTTGAGCGGATCGGAATATTTCTACGATGTGTGCGATTGATAGTAACATTTATAGACATTTATTTTCGGCACAGACACCTTAACAGATGGTAGATGCGATCAATAATAGAGAGTGCACAGTATATAGCTAGGAATTCATCCTCCTTTTAATTAAAATTAAGTGGAATCGATAAATTACATTATGGGATTAAATTACAATAATAAACAAATCAGTATAGAACAAACCAGTAAGCCCAGCTAACAAGGCGCCTCCACCACAACCATCCCGCATACGATCTAGAGGTTAGGTTTACCTATCACCAACCTAACTATCACCTCAACATTACGATCAAAGTAAAATGTTATCTTCAGGGGGTTAATATAAAGTATGACATTGATTGTGTGAAAATTAATAGCATTGCTACAAGGAACCTTGAACCGGGAAATCCACCAGCTTGCTATGGCATTTCCTATATCATGTTGCGTACGTGCGTATGCCTTCCGCGTTCGTGATCCTGGCTGTCTTTAGTACTTCCGTAAGTATTTACGATTGATGTAAGAGAGATACTCGGTATCGATTGTGTCCGTATTAATTACCAGAGCTGCCACACGCCACCAAACAAAGTTTTGCGTTCACTCTCACTCACCGTGTGCGCTATCTCGTGGCTCAATACATTTGCTATTTCCCAGAGATGTATCCCAGATGACAAGGCTTTATCTGCTAGAATAGTCTGCTCTGTGTAAGTCATCAACCCCCAGTTTTCCATCGCCTCGAATCCAAGATCTGGTACAACGATGTGATCTGAACGAGAATGAGTGATGACTTATTTTACTGCGCTACGTACCGTGTGCGCTATCTCGTGAGACATCACCTGTGCCACGTAATACACATCTTTGTTCGAGGATACGTCGAGGTCGACGAGAAGGGCACTTTCCTCGTACGTTACCATTCCCCAGTTTTCCATTGCCTCTGCCCCCATATCGGGCACACTCATGTGATCTGCAGAATCGGAACACGTTAGTATATGCATGCGCCAGTATCAGAACAGACAGACGATATAGATAGAGATATATACAGATATTATGTATGTATATATATATATATATATATATATATATATATATATATATATATATATAAGTATTCTGTAACCAGTATTACATTCCCCAAACAAACCTTTCGGCATCCAGACGATATCATTAGTATCTCCTATATCTGACGTTTTGTATGTAAACGGAATTTCCCACTTGTACCTGAATATTGAGGAATTGAAATATAAACATTAATATGCGCAACATAATGATTAAAAGATATAGCAACCATCGTTTAGAAGCACAGAGCGCCATTTGTAGATGCCATTTGCATGTACTAATGTATTCTGTCTTCAAGTATAATGTGGAAATAATGCTGATCGATACAAACTCATAACGTAAACGTCAGCACGCACAATAAAAGATGCTACCGAAAGTTGGTAAATGTAAACGTCGGTTAGTGGCAAGCCATGTTGGCGAAAAGTAGCGTATCAAACGAGTGAATTGAACCTATTAAGAGAATAAAGCGTAATAAAATGATCGAATAATTATAATTTACTGATATTGGCTTTCCGAGATGTTTGATGTGTCCATCGGATTCAACAGAAACCTCTCCTGGGAGAGGCTGAGTGTTGTGGAGCTGGTGTTGGTCACGTGAACAACTGGATAACCCATCTGTGTCAGCCACGTGTTCATAATACCAGGAATATCGTACTTCCCATCCATCGTCTAAGAACAAATATATTGACGTTAATTTAGTTACATAAAAATTGCCATTTTGTACATTTTTGTACTATATATAATGGTGACCGATTATTTATGTATTATTTATATTACGATATTTCTTGATTTATTCTTTTACTCAAAAAACGTTATTTCACAGAAAACAGACACTAAAATCTTGTCATTATAGGTAAACTACGCATGATCGCCCACCGGTGGCCTCACTCACCTCTTCTAGGGTTGCCCATAAATCTGCCATCTTAGCATTACTGAGTTCGTACTTCTTAATGTATTTCTGTCGATAATAAATAAAAACAAAAACGTCATTCAACGTCAATGAAGAATGTAATATTACTGTTCTCGTACAAGTCGGCCGAATGGGCTATGCTACACTGCTCACACGCTACCTTTTGAATTGAAGCATGCATAAGAAGATTATACACACCCTCATTCCAGCCTGGAACTGATCGGCACCCATAAAGTTCCTTAGCATCCGTAGTACGTGGCTTCCCTGTGCGTGGAAAAATACATCGTATTAAACCTAGTGAGCTTCATATATCAAGCAAATCGACAATTTTTTAAATGAATTAAATGAATAAATTAAATGAATAAATATTTTTATGATTAAATTATTAAATTTTTAAATGAATAAATTAATGAATCACCGACGACTGATATTACGCGATTAGCTTACGCGATTAAATGACCTTCGACTGGTAACTACCAACCTAGCCGGTGCCTCTCAGAATACTTAGTGTATAATTATATATAAAAATAAGTCGTTGCTAATATTCATTTCTATATCACTTACTTACACAGTACAGTTCGGAATTTAAATATAAATTACTTCAACCATTGTTTTTCTGTACTATTTTTTTTACTTATAACATCTTAAGATCAAATCAAATCAAATCAACATGCTGTTTATCGCGTGCTCCTTTTTACACGCGTGAGTAATTGACATTAGTTAACAGAGTATAGGTACACACACTACATACTACTACGCATTACAATATTAGATATGACTACGACAAATAATTCCCAATAACCCCCACAGGTTCTTTTAAAATAACTATATTACACAGTTTAGTATCGAAAACACATGCGAGTTTTGAATGCAAGTATTACCAAAATGCGACATGAAAATAAAATCGGAACACTATCAATAGTTTGTGAAAAATATATACACTTTTTGCACCGCATATACAATATAATACAATTAGTGCAAAGGTTTGCCTGACTACCGTATTGTATGGTGGAATCTGTCGATAAATGATATATTATATATAAAACATCTACTGGCGTCATATTTTCGGTTGACATTTGGAATAGTTGCCATTCATGCTAGATGACCTTTCACTTCCCTGATTTTGCCAGCGGACATAGTATCGGTAACTTATTATACCGCAACACGACACGTGTGCACTGTAACAATATCACAGTAGAGAGAGGTAGGCATGAACATTTCACCAGACAAAGATCGAGAGCACGAGACATTCTTGCGAAATGCGAAAACCTATCGATGCAAATCTTTCATAGCAAATCGAGCAGATCATTTCTATCATCCTCTCGAACGAACGACAAACATGCCTTGTGAAAAGTATTCACTAAAGCCTGGCGTATGGAGATTATACGGATATACATTATGTAACGGAGCTGGTTCCACCACACCTTGTTAATTACTGTTAGTTTGGCATAAGGCCATGCGGGTCGCATTGGTGACAATTCAGGGGAATAGATGAGCCATTAGGTTCACACGCGATGCAGGCTGAAGGTAATATCAGAAGCAATAACGTAGCTAACGACGGCAACAGGTGGGCCGCAGTGCTGCGGGATAATCGGTTATCACCCGCAGCCGGCACTAAAGCCTGCGTAAGCTCTCGAACGAACGACAAACATGCCTTGTGAAAAGTATTCACTAAAGCCTGGCGTATGGAGATTATACGGATATACATTATACGGATATACATTATGGAAATTACATTTAAAATACTTTTTTTTAAGTAGCTAGACATCACGTTGATCGCATTTACAATATTGTGTGTCACTACTCGCGGGTTCGCCACCACAACTCTTGTACAACTTCGGGTAACCCACTCTTGGGTCGACCGCAGCACTAACCTTGACGTATGCGATTCGATCGAAGTATTGATTAATCGCATCCGAGCTCTGGAAATCGAAATAAATCGGGTGCGACGCCAGTAGGGCGTCATCGTCCTGCACGAAGACTGTCGCACGCCAACGGTCCACGACTTGCTTATCGAACTTGCGAGAGACAAACAGCGAGAGCATGCATCAGTAGCGTAAGACAACTACAGGCTGCATGCTGCAAAGACAAGGTGAATGTTAGTCGGCCGGAGCGGCGCTATGAGCGTGTGTCTATCGTAGCTAACACATTGTGTCTGGGGGAGGCAGGCAAAGCCACGCGCGGGTTGTGTTCTGGGTAGGTGCTCGTGGGCGATAGCCGTTGGCTAGTCACCTCGTAATAGTATCTACTCTGGTCTTGGGGGCTCTGCTCCCCCGCCTGCTCTTCGCCGACCCCACTAGCTACGGCCGTTGGTGTCCGTGCGTCGTGCGTCAGGAATGTCGTAAAAGATAAGTACACGCATGATTCGTTACAACTGGTGTCACCAGGGCCTCTGTGTGCAAGTGCACCACTGATCTCTATATACTAACTGCTACTATATAGAGATCGATGAAGTGCACTCATTGCTTCTCTAAGTCAGCTGCTCAGAGTGGATTCATGAGGCGTGCTCACTTGATGGGGAGGCAACAGTGGCGCCGCCCAGCGGAGTCAAGTGCCGTTAAAAACGCGCGACTGTCTGCTCGTTTTTGTTCCGTACGTAGAGTGTTACATACATAGAGCTATATATCAACCAATATATAGACCATATATATATATATATATATTGTGCGGAGGATGAAGTGATTCGTAAATGACGCTGTGATCAAGCACGGGAAACTAGTATTTTCGTTGCTGGGAGCTCGGCATTTGGAAAGCGGGAATAATTCTTTTATTCACATAATAGTAATTCATAATTATTTAATTATTTTCCATAGTTTTTTCTAGATGTAGGCCCTATTGAGTTTTGCAATGAGTTCGTTTAAATCCGTTCAAGTAACAAGTTCAAAATTTCCGCACTGCATTTTATAGCTTTTGAGGCAATTGAAGATGGCTGGATGGCTGGCTGGATGGATGGATGGATGGACGGACGGACGGATGGACGGACGGACGGATGGACGGACGGACGGACGGATGGACGGATGGATGCATGCATGCATACATAGACAGATTGATGGACGGGTGGATGCCGGATGGACGGACGAACAGACGTTGAGTAGATGTGTACGCTGAGATATATAGAAAATCTCCGCGTATTTCTAAGTTGCCTCCCGCAATTAGTATGATTCATAAAACACCCATTTCGGTTTTACGTAAATTACAATAAGATGCACAAGCAGAATCCTCGACAATAGGAAGCGGTGAGCATGCGTGAAGACACGTCTATACCCGACGCCTGCAAACAGCGGCAAGAGCAGCAGACAGAGTTAGTAAGGTGGCACATTAACACCTTCATGTAGGCGATCACGTCAAAGTACTGAGCGATTTCGTCTGCCGTAGATAACGGAACATAGATAGGATGTGACGTGACGAGGCCATCGTCTCGTTCAGCGTCGATCGTACCGAAAAACGCATTAACATAAGCCTGATCAAACTGTGATAGAAATGAGGAAAATTAATCGTTTTAGATAGTCAGTGAGGCTGCAAAAGTGATTGAGATTGGTGGGAGCAGGGAGAGTAGAAGGGAAATGAGAGAGCGCGCAAGAGAGGCTGTGGTGTGAGAATCGTGCACCGGGGAGAAATACACATTTTTCCGGAAATAGCTGAACGGTAGTAGGGCGCAACTTCGGGATCGCTCGGGTCCATAATACACATGTGTACACATGTATGCGCATTGTGAACCCTAACTCTAACCCGAACCCTAATCCTAACCTAACCCTAAACAGAAAAATAAAAAAATAAAAAAATAAAAAATAAACAGATGGGATTCGAACCAACAACCTTTCAGACGTGCTATTCAGCATTATTAAAAACATAACATGACTTATGCTAAATAAGCAAATACCCTGGTATATAAAATTTGTATTTCTCCCTGGGGCAAAAATCGTGGTGTGGAGTCCAATCAAGATATATAGATCGAAGAGGAGGCAAAGTATAATAAATAACGCCCAAAAATGTATATGACAGCAATGCTAATGCTCGCACCGGTGCGAGCACAGAGCACCCATCCCCGCATCCTCACCGTCACATCATCGCCTCCATAAACAAGTTTCATTCTCATTAGGAGAGCGCTCTAGGAAGCATACAACAGTAAGCCGCCGCAAATTGTTTATGCAAATTGCACTATTTCGTCTCTAGAAAAGGCATTTTTGGGCTTTTTTTCGCCGAAATTCGGCACTAGAGTGCAATAATTTGCATTATGCACGCAAGTTAGATTGTAACATCTGTTTTACACGTGTGACAGAGCGTCGCTCAACAAGATGCGCGGCTACATTGATGTATTAGGGAGAATGGTAGACGTGGTTGGGTTAGACAGATTAGAGGATGATTGTGAAATGGGAGGTAGAACGTAGTCTGTGAGAACGGGTACATGTGCGGGCAGTATGTTTGTAGGAGTTTGGGGGAAATAGATTCCTGTTTACTAGATGCCTCGTGGACGTCTAGAAAGCATTAGAAGTAAAATTGGTCTTGTCGTGTAGTTGTGACATTCCGTCAGGTGGCGTAGCGACCGGTTGGTCATTTTTTGTTTTTTAAATGTGTTCAGACTACTTTGCAGAAATTCGCATCATAGAGCTGGGAAAAGTTTCGAGCGGCGCATAGAGCATGAATCTGTAGTTATTTAACATGAATAAAGCGTATGTTGTGTATGCGAAGTAACAGTGTGAGTATTTTTAATTAATTTCTGTTCGATGCTTATTCAGACCTGCCGCCTATGGACGCCCTCTACTGTTGTTCACCACCTTAAACGTAAGCCCGCCCTCGAGGCACCCCACTCCCCCTCCCCACCACCACCCCACCCGCACCTTCACCAACGCGCCACTGTTTCTGCGACGGATTTTCTCTCCCGAAAGGTGTCGCCGTTGTTCCCGTCACTGCGGACTGCTGCGCTGTGCGTGCTGTGTGTTGTTGTGGCGGCGGGAGAGATCGCAAATACAGAAAACAGGAAAATAATTAAAAAACGAATGGATCCAACAACCTTTTAGCCGTGACCTCCGTGCTGTACTCGTTATTACCGGCTATTGAGGTTATTATGTATTATGGATGTGCTATGAATATTGCGACACTAACGTCATTGAGCGACGAAACAAGCTCCACCAATGGCAGCGCTCACTAGAGCCCTATGTTCTTGATTATCCTAAGAAAAAAAATCACGCCGGCGGCTTGACTACGGGGGATTGGCGGTGGGGGAAGGGGAGAGATTTGTCGCTGCGCGCGGAGCAACGTACTCGTCATTTGCCCGCCTGCCGCGGACACTCCAGGTGGCTTCTGCTACGCCGCTCACAGCGTTGTGCGGCGTCTCTGTAGAAGCTGGTTTTCACCCCGGTCACGCCGATGGAGAGCACGATCGACGACTCGGGCCACGCCCTAGACGCGGGCGGCAACGGCACCTCGCCGACAGGGAAAGACGAAGGAGGAGCGGAGAAGGCGGAGAAGGCTGGGAAGAGGTTGCTGGAGAGCAGGGACATGGCGCTGCACGGCATGCGGGCGGCGTTAGAGTGACGGGCAGACGTGAGAGCTGACATCAGTCACACGTTCGCCGGCGCCGTCTGCCTGCTGAAGGACGGACCGCCGAAGATGCTTAAGGTAAGCTATATAGATTCGCGAGCTTAAGGTAAGCTATAGGTACGCGTGCTTAAGGTAAGGCTATAGGTATACGCGTGCTTAAGGTAAGCTATAGGTACGCGTGTTTAAGGTAAGCTATAGGTACGCGTGTTTAAGGTAAGCTATAGGTACGCGTGCTTAGGTAAGCTATAGGTACGCGTGCTTAAGGTAAGCTATAGGTACGCGTGCTTAAAGGTAAGCTATAGGTACGCGTGTTTAAGGTAAGCTATAGGTACGTGTGCTTACGGTAAGCTATATAGATGCTCGTGCTTAAGGAAATGTTTAAGAAAATGCGTAAGGAGACATGATTAAGGAAGATAGTCGAGGAAGATGGTTAAGGAAGATGCTTAAGGTAAGCTATAGATGCGCAGGCTTAAGGAAGTTGCTTAAGGTAAGCTATATATGTGCGCGTCTGTCAGGAATCTGGTCGTCACTTGGCTGATTTGAGCATCATGCAACATCCCCTGACACATCGCGATGAAAAGAACCCGGATGAAAACGTCGGCATGTCGACGTACCAGTTTTCACCAAAGTTAGACACATTCCGTCGTTTATTTGTATATTTTTTCTAGCCCATGTATATATATATAAACATAAATTTATTTATTTATTTATGCCGCTGGAAGTGAAATAATTACGTTTGAATTTCCCACTTGAGCCCGGGTGCATTGAGCTCGTGTGTGTGTGTGTGTGTGTGTGTGTGTGTGTGTGTGTGTGTGTGTGTGTGTGTGTGTGTGTGTGTGTGTGTATTCACGGCTTCATGTGTATCAGGAAACTTGCGAAATTCTCATGCGGAACGTTAGTAATTGATAGGTTCTGCTCTATGCGATATTGTTTGTGTAATGTTGAGAAGTTAGTCGTATTGAAAAAGGCGATGAAACAGGCAGTCACAGGAAAATGTTCTTTATTCGACGAGCAGCCAGTTACAATCGTCGGTCGTAAACTGGAACTTCTCTCTTCTCTCTTCTCCTTTCCCCCGGGCCTCTTCCGACCTTCCCCTATTATACGCGGCCGTGCCCTTTCGTGCGACACGTGTTTCCTCTCGGGCCGGCCTCTCCCTATGTCCTCTATTGGTGGGGTTTCGGACATTGATCGGTAAAGTGGCCACCTCGTCACTCTTGCGTCATTATGGCACGCTTCAAACTCCTCGCCACCCGCTGGCAATTTCTTGGTTCATTTATTTTGCATGATGTTCCCACTATATTCACGCGTCTCTGGAGTCGACTGTCTAATAATGGTGAGAGCCCTCTTATTGCGAATGCTCTCTAAGCCTAATGACTCCAACGGTCTCTCTAAGCTAATAACACCACATGACGCTCTTCTCTGAGGTTAACAATAGCTGGGGCTTTCTGGGACCAATTATTCTACAAGTACTTTTGGATCTCGCCTCGCTGGTCCAAAATTACGTTCGGCTTACAGCGCGTGTGCTACTATGACGCTCGTAATCTACTTGTTGTACATTTTGCTTATTCTCATTCTTTGGTTATTTCGCTTCGTTACATTTGTATCTGGCGCCAGTACACACACACACACACAGCACACACACACACACACACCACACACACAACACACAACACACACACCACACACGCACACGCACACGCACGTACACGCCACCGCACACGCACACGCACACGCACACGTACACCACACGCACACGCACACGCACACGCACACGCACACGCACACGCACACGCACACGCACACGCACACGCACACGCACACGCACACGCACACGCACACGCCACACGCACACGAACACGCACACACAGCACACACACACACACATACACACACGTACACGCACACACACACACACACACACACACACATACACACACACGCACACGCACAACGCAACGCACATGCAACGCACACTGCCACACCACACGCACACGCACACCACACGCCACACGCACACACGCACACACGCACACACCGCACGCACACCATCAACACACACACAACACACACACACACACACACACACACAACACACACACACACACACACACACACACACACACACACACAATATATATATATATATATATAATATATATATATCAGAAGTAGATAATAGGGAAGGAGTGTGACTTCAATAAACAAGAAAAATTCGTTCTTGAAACAAAAGGCAGCTACTAGCTAGCCACACCGCATCGCCGAGTGCGCAAGAGTCGCTAATAGCTGCCTTTTGTTTCAAGTTAGGCGGTTTATACATTTGGTTTGCTGGCAACAGAATGGATAATCGTGTCGTGCGTTTTATTCTGTATCTCCGGATTGCGGTGTATACGAGGGAACGATTTCGCACGATGCCTAGGCGAATGTACAGTGTACTAATTCGTAGTATTCGTTAGTATTCTAGAATTCTAGTATTATAGAATGTTGTATTCTAGGGCTAGTAAATAACGAATTTCCGTTGTTTATTGAAGTCACACTCCTTCCCTATTATCTACTTCTGATATATTATATATATATATTATATATATATATATATATATATTGCGGCGTGCGCGCGCGCCGTGAGTGTGTGTGTGTGTGTGTCTGTGTATGTATGCGTGCGCGTGCGCGCGCGCGGTGTGTGTGTGCGTGTGTGTGCGTGCGGTCGTGTGTGTGTGTGTGGTGCGTGCGTGCGTGCGCTGCGTGCGTGTGTGGGTGTGGTGTGTGTGTGTGTTGTGTGTGTGTGTGTGTGTGTGTGTGTGTGGCTGTGTCTGTGTATGTATGCGTGCGCGTGCGCGTGTGGTGCGCGTGTCTGCGTGCCGCGTGTGTGTGTGTTGTGTGTGTGTGGTGGTTGTGTGTGCTGTGTGGCTGTGTCTGTGTATTATTCTGCGCGTGCGCTGTGTGTGTGCGCGTGGTTCTGCGGGCGCGCGTGTGTGTGTATGTGTGTGTGTATGCGTGCGCTCGTCTGCGTGCGCGAGTGCGTGTCTGCGTGCGCGAGTGCGTGTGTGTATATTAAATCTCGCTTATCTTTTTTTAATTTACACTATATTAAGTATGTATAACATATTACATATATTATAGGTAAAAGGATTACGATATTGGGAGATGTTTCTCTCGATGTTATCTTCTAACGTCGCGCATGCGCACTACCACTAAATCCTTCCCGCGCCTATCTCCGTTTCTGTAACCCTGAGGCCCCGCAGCTGCTTTCACAGTAAATGCTACAGTAGGAGGTTAGTCCACTGTAGCACTGCGAGATAACTTGCCACACTCTATGTCTATTTGCTGAATGCTAAGCAGAGAAGCCGTGTGTACCATTTTTCAAGTCTTTGGTATGACCCGGTCGGGAGTTGATCCCCCGACCTTTCACATACGAGGCGAGCACTCAACCATTGAGCCATCGCAGTGGTGGCACTACCACTAACGGTGACGTAATTGTCCAGCGCACGTATCGCGCATGCGTAGAGAGGAGTTCATTAGGCTTCTTTTCTTTTCTCTTAAAACGTATACTCA